ATTTCCCATTAAAATAGTTAAATGTACTGATGATGCCTGACCCCAAAGTAGCAGGACAGCGATTGACTTTTCAGTAACGTATTCGTACTAGAAGAGGTAATGGTACAACAAACAGAGGTAGAGTTATTATTTGCTTTTCATTCCTCTGTAAAGTTAGGTGAAAGGGGGGCATGCAGAGCAGTTGGTTTATGTACCCCAGTATGTCCCTTGAATCCTCAGGAGAGATCGCGATGAACCTTTCATGGAGCCACTCTGCAATCCTCTCCTGAAGGTTTCTAGGATGGCGGCCTAATTTCTTCCTCCACAGTAGAACATTTTCCCATGCCACTGCATGATGGATTCAGCCAGCACCATTGCAGTAAACAAGCTCGTGGCATACAAGCCCAGGCAGCTTCAGGACACCCGTAGCTCCTGAGCTCTCTCTGCCTTTGTTACCCTACAGGGTTAGATATCAACTAAAATCAGCACCTGTGGAAAATAGTGCCAGTATTCAGTGCAATGGCCCTATACTCACGTTGTTTCATGCGATTGAACAATTCTCTGCTCATTTCTCACTCTGCTTGCCCTGGCGGGCCATACTCACTATGGCTGGGACTGAAGAGCGGTGTTGTGCACAAGCACTCCAAGATTGAAGTGTCAATAAGCAGGTCTTGTTTAAAACTTCAGGGAAGCAAGGGAAGGGAGTTCCGAACCTTAACTTTCACTTTTCATTGTGACTATACTGACAATAACACCTCCATGTGTATTATCTGTATCTGCTGCCGTTGCAGCGTTGACGGGTTCCCCCTCTACATCCGCGTCATGCCTAAGCCAGGTAAGGAGGAGAAAGAAGATGACTCAGGATGATGTGTTTAGTGAAATCCTGCAAGGCAATGCTGCATTAGGCTGTGAGCAGAAGTCTTGAAGGGCGAATATTTCAGACTGTATGAAGAACAAAAGAGCATATGGGGAAAGGCCCAGGAGTCCTGCAGGAAGAGGAGAGGGAGCTGCACCAAGACATAGTGGGGCTTCTCCAGCAGCAAACAGATGCGGCAGACTCTTGTGGACCTACGAGTTCAACAGGCATGGTCTCACCTCCCTTTGCAGTCAATGGAGAACTCCATTTTAGCACCTCCCTGCACCCCCCATCCCAACATTCCATGTGACATCAGGGCTGCATCCCTACCCCTATCACTCCACCAGGGGGACAGTGAGGAGAACTGACCTGTGAGAGCTATGGTTGATGTAGGGTGTAGCCAAAATGAACCAAAATGGACAGGAATGTTCTTTCCCCTTGTTCAGTACTGTTTCATTAGTTTATTTCAAAAGTTTCCATTGTATTTGCTTTTAAAGTGCACTTTCTTTTTTTTTTTTTTTTTGGTGGTTGTGTGACTCAATAAAATTCTATTTTTTTAAAACTAATTAGTCTTTATTAGTTCACAATTCAGGCTGCAGAAGGCCTAGTGGTATTGAAAGCACCCACTTCTTCTTATGGTACAGGGCGACAGAACTCAAAGGATCAGTGACAAACACAGTGTAATAATTATAAATGTACTGCAAGCACCACAAAATTAATAGGTGCACAAACAGACTCTTAGATTCATATGTATACTCCAAGCACCACATAATTCCCACTAGGCTCCAAAACTTCGGGGTCAGGTAGAGCACAGCCCACCATACCATATTACTTTGGCTGACTGTTAAAGTGCTCTTTCGAGACCTTCTGTGTTGCGCTTCAATAATAGCCCTTGCGTCAGGCTGTTCAAATGCAGCAGACAGATACTCCGCCTCTGCCCTCCACTCTGGCAGCCGCTTTCCCCCCGTAGCCTCACAGATATTATGCAGGATGCAACAGGCAGCTATAACCGTTGGGATATTTTTCTCACTGAGATCTAATTTAGTGAGTAAACAATACCGACATCCTTTCAATCTGCCAAAAGCACATTCAACCATCATTCTGCACCTGCTGAGCTGGTAGTTGAATCTTTCCTTGGTGCTGTTGAGATAGCCAGTGTATGGCTTCGTGAGAGAGGGTAGCAAGGGGGAGGCTGGGTCCCCCCCAGGATCACTCTTGGGAGTTCAGCATCACCAGTGGTAATCCACTGGTGAAGAAAGTGTCCCAGCTTGCAGCTTTCTGAACCGTCCTGTGTTCTTAAAGATGTGAGCATCATGAACCTTCCCTGACAGCTAACACTGATGTTTGTGAAACATCCCTGATGTTCCTCCAATGCTTGTGTAACCATAGAAAAGTAACCCTTTCCCACAATAGGGATATGCGTGCCATCTATTACTTCACTGAAGAGCAGGAACCCCATTGCTGCAAATCCAGCCACTCTGTTCTACACAGTGCCAAGAGTCACAGTCCTGTGTAGCAGGAGATGAGTAATGGCCCTACACACTTGGAGACAATGGCCCCCACTGTGGATTTTCGCACTCCAAAATGATTTCCCACTGACCGGTAGCAAGCCAGTGTTGCAAGCTTCCACAGTACGATCACCACGCACTTCTCCACTGTCAGGGCAGCTCTCACTTTGGTATCCCTGCTCTGGAAGGCTGGGGTGAGCTCAGCACACAGATCCAGGAATGTGGCCATGCACTTTGGAAAGTTCTGCGGCCACTGTTTGTCATTCCAACCCTGCATTACCGTGCTGTCCCACCAGTCAGTGCTCATTTCTCAGGCCCAGAAGCGGCGCTCCACCCTCTGCAGCTGCTCCCTGAATTCTACCAACACACCTGAACTTGTTGTCGCTATGTCCCACAGCCACCTGTTCTCCCTGAAACTACCACGTTCCCCACAGCTGTGGTTCTTCCTGTGGCTCTGCAAATACTGGAGGATTGTGCCTTCTGTGTTTGCAATGCTCATGATAATGGTGCAGAGCTATGTGGGCTCCATGTTTTTATCAGAGATGGCGGCCAGCAACAAGCACTGTCCAGATTTGTGGGATTTTTAAAAAGGCAAGAAAATTATGGGTTTGGGTGGCATTATGGCCTGGAGAAGGTTGCATGACGTAAACGTGGCGCCCCTCGCTCCCAGTGACCCCTGCAGGACTCGTTTCTGCCTAGCCATGCCTTGCCCACAAAGACAGCGTGCCAGACGATGGCAAGTTGCACACTGAGACATCTACCCATGGTGCACTGCACTGTATATCGACACATGCACTCCTGGTGAGTACCTGCAGTGCCAGCACAAGGAGCCAACTATGAATGCACTCAAGAGATATACTATCTCCAGTACCTTTATGTTGCCATTACTTGCATCAACCAAAGTGTATAGTGTAGACATGGCCTAACTATAAGGGTGATTAAGCACTAGAACAGGCTTTCAAGGGAGGCTGTGGAATCCCCATCCTTGGAAGTGTTTAAGAACAGGTTGGACAACCCCCGTCAGGGATGGTCTAAGTCAGTGGCTCTCAACCTTTCAGGAGTCTGATTTGTCTTGCGTTCCCCCCGAGTGCCACCTCCCTTAAAAAACAGTGCTTACAAAATCAGACATAAAAATGCAGAAGTATCACAGTCACACTAGTACTGACAAATTGCTGACTTTCTCATTTTTACCATATAATTATAAAATAAATCAACTGGAATATAAATCTTGTACTTACATTTCAGTGTATAGTATATACAGCAGTATAAACAAGTCACTGTCTGTATGAAATTTTAGTTTGTACTGACTTTGCTAGTGCTTTTTATGTAATCTCTTGTAAAACTATAAAAATATCTAGATGAGTTGGTATATCCCCGGAAGACCTCTGCATACCCCCAGGGGGACACGCCCCGGTTGAGAACCACGGGACTAGGTTTACTTGGTCCTGCTGCAGCACAGAGGGTGGGACTTGATGACTCCTTGAGGTGCCTTCCAGCCCTACATTTCTATGATTCTGTAAGGTACATGTCTGTTCATCCTATGTTGCAGAATAATGGCCAAATATACTTCTGGATCTCTCCACAACATTCAGTATGGTCGATCACAAGATGCTGCTCCTGGTATCCTAATTGAGAGAAGGGGTGTAGGGGACCCAAGAAAATTCATTAAAATGTTTGGAATCCTTCCGGGAGAGCCACATGCAGAGGTTAATGATGGGAAATTGCACCTCTGCCACAAGACGTCTCTCCTGTGGCCTGTTCAATATTAACACAGAACCACTAGGAGAAATAGTAAGACCTACTGGGCTCAGATGCCAACAATGTGCCAATGATATACAACCATCGCTGTCACTGGCACCCAGCTGTCCCAGGCTACATCTACCTGGGAACTGGAGGTGTAATTTCCAGCTAGGGTAAGTGTGCATGCACTAGTGCTGATCGAACAAGCAAGCTAAAAATAGCAGTGCAGCCACGGCCACGTGGGAGGCAGGTGAGCTAGCCACCCTGAGTGTGCACCAAGGATCAGAAAGGAATGTGTGCAGGGCAGCTAGCCTGTCCTGCCCCCCAGGCAGCTGCATTACTATTTTTAGCATGCTCACTCCATCAGGGCTAGAGCAGGCATGTCTATCCAAGCTGGAAATTACACCTCCTGCTCTAGTGTAGACATACCCTTTGTGTCTAGCCTTGGAAGAGATAGTGGAAGTTAAAGCCTAGAGGAAGCCAGCGGTTGTAGCTGTAGGCAGAGGAAGTTGTTTAAAAGAGCTTACTCCCACTAACCTGAGCCAAGGTGCAGTGAAGTCAATGGAAACCCTGCCATTGACTTTCCTGGGCTTTGGATCAGGCCCACAGTGTGGTCTTCTCCAGCCAAGAATGCTTTCCCACAAAATTGTCAAGCCAGCTATAGTGCACGTGATCTTCTACATGTTTCACTGAGTTAGCAAACAGCAACATCCAGGAGAAATGTGATCCATCATCTTGGTGAGGCTAGGAGAACTGCATCACAGTTTTGTGGATGATGCTCTGGCCTCAGTAATATATGCCTTTGTTTACCTCCTGTTTGAGTTATAGTGATGTAATTGACCTGGGTTTGAAATCATCAGTCCTGAGCCCTGGTCTACACTAGGACTTTAGGTCGAATTTAGCAGCGTTAAATCGATGTAAACCTGCACCCGTCCACACAATGAAGCCCTTTATTTCGACTTAAAGGGCTCTTAAAATCGATTTCCTTACTCCACCCCTGACAAGTGGATTAGCGCTTAAATCGACGTTGCCGGCTCGAATTTGGGGTACTGTGGACACAATTCGATGGTATTGGCCTCCGGGAGCTATCCCAGAGTGCTCCATTATGACCGCTCTGGACAGCACTCTCAACTCAGATGCACTGGCCAGGTTGACAGGAAAAGAACCGCGAACTTTTGAATCTCATTTCCTGTTTCGCCAGCGTGGCAAGCTGCAGGTGACCATGCAGAGCTCATCAGCACAGGTGACCATGATGGAGTCCCAGAATCGCAAAAGAGCTCCAGCATGGACCGAACGGGAGGTACGGGATCTGATCGCTGTTTGGGGAGAGGAATCCGTGCTATCAGAACTCCGTTCCAGTTTTCGAAATGCCAAAACCTTTGTGAAAATCTCCCAGGGCATGAAGGACAGAGGCCATAACAGGGACCCGAAGCAGTGCCGCGTGAAACTGAAGGAGCTGAGGCAAGCCTACCAGAAAACCAGAGAGGCGAACAGCCGCTCTGGGTCAGAGCCCCAAACATGCCGCTTCTATGATGAGCTGCATGCCATTTTAGGGGGTTCAGCCACCACTACCCCAGCCGTGTTGTTTGACTCCTTCAATGGAGATGGAGGCAATACGGAAGCAGGTTTTGGGGACGAAGAAGATGATGAGGAGGAGGAGGTTGTAGATAGCTCACAGCAAGCAAGCGGAGAAACCGGTTTTCCCGACAGCCAGGAACTGTTTCTCACCCTAGACCTGGAGCCAGTACCCCCCGAACCCACCCAAGGCTGCCTCCTGGACCCAGCAGGCGGAGAAGGGACCTCTGGTGAGTGTACCTTTTAAAATACTATACATGGTTTAAAAGCAAGCATGTGAAAGGATTACTTTGCCCTGGCATTTGCGGTTCTCCTAGATGTAGTCCTAAAGCCTTTGCAAAAGGTTTCTGGGGAGGGCAGCCTTATTGCGTCCTTCATGGTAGGACACTTTACCACTCCAGGCCAGTAGCACGTACTCGGGAATCATTGTAGAACAAAGCATTGCAGTGTATGTTTGCTGGCATTCAAACAACATCCGTTCTTTATCTCTCTGTGTTATCCTCAGGAGAGTGAGATCTAATTCATGGTCACCTGGTTGAAATAGAGTGCTTTTCTTCAGGGGACACTCAGAGGAGCCCATTCCTGCTGGGCTGTTTGCCTGTGGCTAAACAGAAATGTTCCCCGCTGTTAGCCACAGGGAGGGGGGAAGGTTGAGGGGGTAGTCACGCGGTGGGAGGAGGCAAAATGCGACCTTGTAACGAAAGCACATGTGCTATGTATGTAATGTTAACAGCAAGGTTTACCCTGAAAGAGTGTAGCCACTGTTTTATAAAATGTGTCTTTTTAAATACCGCTGTCCCTTTTTTTTTTCTCCACCAGCTGCATGTGTTTCAATGATCACAGGATCTTCTCCTTCCCAGAGGCTAGTGAAGCTTAGAAAGAAAAAAAAACGCACTCGCGATGAAATGTTCTCCGAGCTCATGCTGTCCTCCCACACTCACAGAGCACAGACGAATGCGTGGAGGCAAATAATGTCAGAGTGCAGGAAAGCACAAAATGACCGGGAGGAGAGGTGGCGGGCTGAAGAGAGTAAGTGGCGGGCTGAAGACAGGGCTGAAGCTCAAATGTGGCGGCAGCGTGATGAGAGGAGGCAGGATTCAATGCTGAGGCTGCTGCAGGACCAAACCAGTATGCTCCAGTGTATGGTTGAGCTGCAGCAAAGGCAGCTGGAGCACAGACTGCCACTGCAGCCCCTCTGTAACCAACCGCCCTCCTCCCCAAGTTCCATAGCCTCCACACCCAGACGCCCAAGAACGCGGTGGGGGGGCCTCCGGCCAACCAGCCACTCCACCACAGAGGATTGCCCAAAAAAAAGAAGGCTGTCATTCAATAAATTTTAAAGTTGTAAACTTTTAAAGTGCTGTGCTTAAAGTGCTGTGTGGCATTTTCCTTCCCTCCTCCACCACCCCTCCTGGGCTACCTTGGTAGTCATCCCCCTATTTGTGTGATGAATGAATAAAAAATGCATGAATGTGAAGCAACAATGACTTTATTGCCTCTGCAAGCGGTGATTGAAGCGAGGAGGGGCGGGTGGTTAGCTTACAGGGAAGTAGAGTGAACCAAGGGGCGGGGGGTTTCATCAAGGAGAAACAAACAGAACTTTCACACCGTAGCCTGGCCAGTCATGAAACTGGTTTTCAAAGCTTCTCTGATGCGTACCGCGCCCTCCTGTGCTCTTCTAACCGCCCTGGTGTCTGGCTGCGCGTAACCAGCAGCCAGGCGATTTGCCTCAACCTCCCACCCCACCATAAATGTCTCCCCCTTACTCTCACAGATATTGTGGAGCACACAGCAAGCAGTAATAACAGTGGAAATATTGGTTTCGCTGAGGTCTAAGCGAGTCAGTAAACTGCGCCAGCGCGCCTTTAAACGTCCAAATGCACATTCTACCACCATTCTGCACTTGCTCAGCCTGTAGTTGAACAGCTCCTGACTACTGTCCAGGCTGCCTGTGTACGGCTTCATGAGCCATGGCATTAAGGGGTAGGCTGGGTCCCCAAGGATACATACAGGCATTTCAACATCCCCAACAGTTATTTTCTGGTCTGGGAATAAAGTCCCTTCCTGCAGCTTTTGAAACAGACCAGAGTTCCTGAAGATGCGAGCATCATGCACCTTTCCCGGCCATCCCACGTTGATGTTGGTGAAACGTCCCTTGTGATCCACCAGAGCTTGCAGCACTATCGAAAAGTACCCCTTGCGGTTTATGTACTCGGCGGCTTGGTGCTCCGGTGCCAAGATAGGGATATGGGTTCCGTCTATAGCCCCACCACAGTTAGGGAATCCCATTGCAGCAAAGCCATCCACTATGACCTGCACATTTCCCCGGGTCACTACCCTTGATATCAGCAGATCTTTGATTGCGTGGGCTACTTGCATCACAGCAGCCCCCACAGTAGATTTGCCCACTCCAAATTGATTCCCAACTGACCGGTAGCTGTCTGGCGTTGCAAGCTTCCACAGGGCTATCGCCACTCGCTTCTCAACTGTGAGGGCTGCTCTCATCTTGGTATTCATGCGCCTCAGGGCAGGGGAAAGCAAGTCACAAAGTTCCATGAAAGTGCCCTTACGCATGCGAAAGTTTCGCAGCCACTGGGAATCGTCCCAGACCTGCAACACTATGCGGTCCCACCAGTCTGTGCTTGTTTCCCGAGCCCAGAATCGGTGTTCCACAGCATGAACCTGCCCCATTAGCACCATGATGCATGCATTGGCAGGGCCCATGCTTTCAGAGAAATCTGTGTCCATGTCCTGATCACTCACGTGACCGCGCTGACGTCGCCTCCTCGCCCGGTATCGCTTTGCCAGGTTCTGGTGCTGCATATACTGCTGGATAATGCGTGTGGTGTTTAATGTGCTCCTAATTGCCAAAGTGAGCTGAGCGGCCTCCATGCTTGCCTTGGTATGGCGTCCGCACAGAAAAAAGGCGCGGAACGATTGTCTGCCGTTGCTCTGACGGAGGGAGGGGCGACTGACGACACGGCTTACAGGGTTGGCTTCAGGGAGCTAAAATCAACAAAGGGGGTGTCTTTACATCAAGGAGTATTTCAGGCAGGACTTCACGGAGGGTTCCAATAAGAAATGGTGCACCTAAGTTATCGTTCTTATTGGAACAAGGAGGTTAGCCTGGCCTCTGATTGATACATGGCTAGATTTACCTCGCTGCACCTTCTCTGTGAGTGACTGCAGTGTGACCTAGAGGAATGAGTCCCCTAGACAGGGAAGGAGGCAAATGAGTACAAAACAAATCTGGTCTATTTCTTGTTTTGACCCACTCCATCTATCTTTTACATCTTTGGTTGGCAGCAGACGGTGCAGAAGGACTGCATGCCATCCACATCTCATGGCTGCTCAGCAGAAGATGGTACAGTACGACTGCTAGCCATCCTCATCTCTTGCCTGCCTGGCAGAAGATGGTACAGTACGACTGCTAGCAGTCCATATCGCCTGCCCGCTCACCATAAGACGGTTCAATAGGACTGACTGCAGGACTAAAGAGAATGACCTGGTCAAGTCACTCCAAATTTAGTCCCTGTGCCCATGTCTGCCCAGGCGCTCCCAGCCGACGTGGCCAGGAGCACCTCGGACACGACGAGGACGACTACCAATCGTATTGCACCGTCTGCTGCCAGAAGGCAATGGGTTGCTGCTACTGTGCAGCAAAGCCGTACCGCGTCTGCCAGCACCCAGGAGACATAGGGTGACGGTTACCTGAGCGGGCTCCATGCTTGCCGTGGTATGGCGTCTGCACAGGTAACTCAGGAAAAAAGGCGCAAAACGATTGTCTGCCCTTGCTTTCACGGAGGGAGGGAGGGAACGGGGGGCCTGACGATATGTACCCAGAACCACCCGCGACAATGTTTTAGCCCCATCAGGCATTGGGATCTCAACCCAGAATTCCAATGGGCAGCGGAGACTGCGGGAACTGTGGGATAGCTACCCACAGTGCAACGCTCCGGAAGTCGACTCTAGCCTCGGTACTGTGGAAGCGCTCCGCCGAGTTAATGCACTTAATGCACTTAGAGCATTTTCTGTGGGGACACACACACTCGAATATATAAAACCGATTTCTAAAAAACCGACTTCTATAAATTTGACCTTATTCCGTAGTGTAGACATACCCTGAGACAGCTACAAGTGGTACAGAATGCAGCAGCACACATCAGAACTACAGGTAACTGCAAATCCATCACCCCATATCCTGCTCACGCCACTAAATCCCATTCAATACTCTGTCAAGTCTCAGGACTTGGTACTTAACTGGAAACAGTCTGGGTCCAGGATGCATGAGGGACAACCTCACCCTTTGGGGTTTCAGCTGCTCTGGACAGCTCTGGCACAGTGTAATGGTCTACTGCAAGAGAGCCGCTTGTGTGTGCAGGGAGACAGAGCTTTTTTGGGCACTGGCCCAAGACAATAAAACTTACTTCTGCAAGAACTATGACAGACCTCACACCTTTCCAGTCCAGTGCAAAGCATGCTATTGCAACCTCGCCTTCTCAGATCACAACACATGGTGTTTCAGCTCACAGTCAGAAAGAAACCCCCTAGCCAGTGTTCTCCCCCAGAAGAGGAATGGAGAGGAAGCCCCACATAACAGATAGTAGCCATTATGTTTAGCTGATCTTTCTCATAGCTGAATGATGGGAAAGATTCTCTAGTCCTGTATTGGGTTGCATTTGTTTTTGCTGGCTTCACAATGTTTTTTAACCTTCTCCTGGTCTTGCTCACAAATAGAAATTAGAGCTGGAAAAGACCGCTGACAGCATGTAGGTCATTCCCTCTCCCCAGGGTCTGCCTTGAACACAGCCAACCCATTTGACTACTTTGGGCCCCATGTTTCTGGAGGCCCCAGGCAAACCCACAACTCCCTGACCTGCCCACTTACTCTCTTAGGTAGTGAGACCAGCAATGTGGCATCTCATTGCCTAATCTCCTACCTTCTGCAAATTGTAAAGTCACTCAGTGCAGGATTATTCCCCCAGGGAGGTAATCCCAACCCTCCTTTTGGTCTGGCTGCGCCTCTCATTTTGTCAGGGACTCCAGCAATGCTCTTTGATGCTGAGCCTTCCTTGCATCACTTTGGAAGTCTTGTCGCTATGGCGACCTGATGCAGCTTGACAGTGTGTTTGTGGTTCACCTATTTCAGTCAGAAATTATTCTGACTGCTTTACATTTGTAGTTATTTCAACTCATAGTTTATTAGGTGTTTCAGAGTGTCAGAGGAGAATACTGATACTCTACAACGATAACTTTAAGAAACCTGCATGTTCCATCACTTTATTGAAAAAAACAAACAAAAAAAGCTGGATGGAATTTGTGCTGATGTAGGTTCCAGAGCAACAGCTCTTAGAAAGAGAATTCTTTACTTAGCCCTACAAGATAGGAACAACATGCACATAGATCAATGTGGTTCAGGTCTGGCCTTGAGATGCCACTTTTAGGCTGAGAGGCATGTTTAGTCTTCATGACTCATTCAATCCTTGGGCCTTTCTGCTGAGAACACCAGCAAGAGGGCTAGGGCTAGACAGTACCAACCGGGGGCTTTTGTTGTTGTTTTTGGTTGGTTGGTTGGTTTTTGGGAGGGAGATGCAGACACCTGTACACTTGGAAGTGGATTGACAACAGGAGCTAACTTTACACAATTCACTAAAGACAACCCCCGCGCACTCCCCCTCCCACCATAGTGATGATCTCTTCAAGAGTAGGGTTGCAGCACTGGGTAGGAGTGGAGGGCAGGTTGCTTTGCGGCTACCACTGCTTTACCTGCTCTGTGGATAAAGCAAGGATTTCATCTTCTCAGGCTGGCATCCAGCACAAAACTTATTTTACAAAAAAATATTTTTAAAAAAGACTGTCCCTTCTGGACAGGTGATCATATAAAGCCAACCCTCAAAGCTGGCCTCTCTGCTTGGGCTAGGGAGACTGAATTCCCTGCCCAGCACTACTGATGTTACCTTTTGGGAAGGGGAGAGGCAAATCAGCAAAATGGGTGTGTGTAATTTACATTGCTGTTGCCTTTGCTTTACCTTTTCTGGGGATAAACAGAAGACTTTGGTCTCTGGGGCTGTCAGACAGACACTTTTCATCTCCACTGACTCCACGCATCCCTTCTTGGAGAAGTGGGTGTCATTTGGGATTCTCTGCTCAGCGTCCCACACTGGTGCCATTTTGTTAATCTCCACCCCTACCCCTGCCTTTAGGATTAGCCTCCAGGCTTTCATAAACCTCAGTTCTTTTGTGCTCCCCCACAGTCCCCCCAAAAGGGAGGCTGGCCATTGGTGTTTCTATGGTGGAACCCTCAGCCTCCACAGAAGTCAAATAGGCCAGCACTTTTTACATGCTCAATGCACTTTGGATTGTTTTTGCTCTGATAACTGACAACACAGAGACAAGGTGGGTGAGGTAATATCTTTTATTGGACCAACTTTTGTTGGTGA